GTCAGTAACAAATGAGGTTAAGAGAGGAATGTCCTTCAACCAGGTAGTTTCTATTCTGGAAAGAAAAGAAGTGGAAGTACAAAAATAGTATAACGAAGGGTTTGAAATTGCCAACCACAGCTACCTAAAATCAATATACTTCTGTGAATACCATTGTTTATGTAGGTAAGAAAGCAGAAGCAAGAGGAAGAAAGTATCACCAGGCTTGGGGGAACCCGCAAATTTGTATAAGCACAAAAAAGTCCTAAATGGGGGGGGACCCAAAGATCCCAGTGCGTGCTCAGTAACCACAGAATGCTGACTATCTGTTGGAGGGAAAGAAAAGGCATTGCTGAACAGGAGCTCTCTGCACTACAACATTCTGTTTTATAATAAGTGGCACAAATGGATTCTGCGACAAAATTCAGAAACCAACAGACACCTTACCAACATACCACACTTTAGAATAAGGTTTTGCATTACATAAAGTTCATTAAAAAATGAATACAGAATAAGACTTTTGCCACCCCACTAGATTCTCAATGGCTGAAATCTGCAGTTGTTGAAGTATGTTTCTGAATGAGACCTTGGAAATGTCTAGAACAAAGCATCTCAACAGAGCGGCACAAAAGCGCACACTACCAATTGCCCTGTTTTTACATTAAAAGTAATTATGAACATGCTGACTATGAAGTCCCATTAATAGAGTTCCATAAATACAGTCATGTCTTCCTGGCAACTATCTGCCCAGTCCCTGAGTGATGTGATACATCCCTCCCTCCCTTCCCCTCAAGGTTCTCTCTGCATGACAACAAGGGAGGGAGACTTATCTTACTTGGGAGAGAAAACCCACTCTTGCCTAACTCCTTTGGTATGTGCAAGGGTCTTGGGGGAGGGGAGGTCAGCCTCTCACTTTTGCACTGGACCTCGCAGTTCCTAGGATCTAGGAAGAATCCTTCCAACTACTTCTGAGTACCTTCAAAGCACTATGGCAAAGGTTAACTTACCCGTCTATGCCAAGTCTGTTGTGTGTTCCAGAGAACTGATAAGAGTGGAGGAAGATTTGGGGAAATCATAAATAACAGCTTGCTACCAAGGTTAGCTAAAATTTGTGGCACCCAACTATTAGTACCATAGGACCTTCCTCTCAGTAAAATTTTGAGTAGAAATCTAAAAAATCCCTAAATTCCTTTGTCTCCAGAAAATCCTGGTGTCAAAAGGGTCCTCCCAGTTATGTCTACACCCAGCTGAAGAAGATTAAATGCTTGGAATTAGAAGTATGTAGAAATAATACAAACGTCACAAAACAGAAAAAGAAAAGCCAAACCCACTCCACCTTTTGGCAAGGATTATCTTTTAAACACATACCTACAGAAGTTGGCAAGGGTTATCTAAAGTAACACTTTGTGGAGTTTTCAGTGCATGTTAAAGTTTAAAGAGTGTTTTCTTCCACAGTAGCCTTTCCCAACTTTGTGCCTTTCATATGTTTTGGACAGCCATGGTGATAGGGGCTGATGGGTAATCTAGTCCAGAACATCTGGAAGTTGTCAGACTGGGGAAGGCTGCCCTTCCCACAGTTCCAAGCACAACGCAGTAACAACCTCTTTTCACCCTTCCTGGTAATGAACTATGGAAAACTGAGGCAATATCAAATCACTAACATGGAAAGTGGTATACATTACTAGACTCGCCTGGATGCAAGTCTCACACAAGTAAGCCCCACTGAGTTCAGAACAGACATCTCTAGCATAACACAACTAATGTCATTTAGCAGCTGTGTGTGATACAGTCAGACATGGACATAACATAGCATGATAGTTATGAGAACCACTGTGAAATAGTGGGTAGAAAGTTGGGCTTGGATAATGAAGACCCAAATTCAAACTCCAGCTCAGCCATGAATCTCACTGAGTGACCTCATAGTGTATATTGGAAGGATAAAATGGGAATAAACTGTCCACTTGCCAACTCGGCTTGAAGTACACTGGGGCAATATTACTACCTCCTTTTGCATGACAGTCCACCAGGATTCAAACCTGCTTTTGTTGTCTGTTTCGGACTGCAGATGGGCAGCTCAAGTACTTCACTGATCACAACATACAACTCGTAGGTTGTGCTCAACTTGATAGGCCACAAATTACCACCAGCCATTTTAGATTAACGACAGTGATATTTTCAAATACATTGTCTTGTGGCCAATTCCAGCTCCAAGTAATTCTACAAGTCCAGAGTGGCATGTGGAACAACTGTTCTCCCTTCTGAATTATTCCTTCTGCTCTAATATAAAAAAACAGCCTAAGCATGTTCAGGATAGAGTCATCATCTCTCACAAATTTTGCAAATTAACATTCAACACCTGCTGTTGCTAGCATCCCACTGTCAAAATGTTTTTACTAGAAAAGTCTGGCCACAGGCCAGCCCTTTGGCCATATGAATGGACTCTCTATGGGAAGCTGCAGCCCAGTGCATTTCTAGTAGCCAGTGACAAAGGTGTTAAATGGCAAACACAGCCCCAAAGACCTGCATTTAGAGCAAATCACATGAGCACTCTCTAATAATGTTTGCAGATCTCGCCTGACACTGTCATTTCCATGTGACCTTGCAATCAAGTTTAAATACTAAAGCATGTGCAGTTCCAAGCCAAGTAAGAAGCTGTTATTAAAGACCAATCATTAATTAGTACCACTGCAGGATGTTGTTTTTAAAAGATGAACCGTCTATCTGAAGAACACTTTCCAAAATAAACTCAAACACATGAAGATAAAAAGTTGAGCTTTGAATAAATGGCAGTCAGGAGATACCAGACAGCAAACAAAACTGCTGCCTAGGGATTGGCATCTGGCCATCCAGCTCCTGGTTTAACTCCTGATCCCAAGGATCCTACATCCCAATCCATTACCCACTTCGGACAAGCCAAGGGCTCTCTTGAGGGAAAAGCAACAGTGGGTTTTGGCAGAGCCTTGTCTGATTATGCATCTCAAACTAGAGCTAAGCAGGAAGCAGGAGCGAGGGAGTGGCACACATTTTCAACCTGTAAAGGAAGCTCCATTTTGCAGCAGTTTCCCACCACTTTGCAAAAGGATGCAGAACTGTCTGCGAGCAGGAGCATGAGGGGCCAAAAGGAAAGTTAGTCCCACTGCCCAAACTCTAGCACTCCCTCACATGGGGACATGCATCTCCATCTGTGGAATCTGAAATGAGCTCTTCATTTCACTGAGAGGGAGTGTTGGCCTGTTTGCTTCAGACAAGTTCAAGAACAATGGCAAAAGATGCCCCTGAAGAACTTGGTGGCGGCACTACCTTTGCTACTCAGATCAAGACAAAGAAAATTATGAATTTCAGTGTGGTGACCATGTTAGTCTGTCACAGCAACCACAGCAAAGTGTCTTGTGTCTTTTTAAAGACTAACACGTTTATTAGGACATAACCATTTGTGGAACAGAGTCCACTTCATCAGAAGCACAAAGTGTTATCCTGCGTTATAGGTATAAATGGACACGATTGGAAGGGATCTGAAATACAGCAGTTCCAGCTGAGCTACAGTGCATACAAAGGGGAAAGCTTTAGTAAACCCTGTTGTTGTTCATGGTGGACAACAGAGGTTAAAAAGCTTACCGGAGGTACTGTGGCTCCTGAGGGTGTTGAGTCAGTACCCAGAGCCAGTGGCTCTTCCAATCTTGATCAATACCTTTGTTATAAAATGACTGAAAACTAGGGCTGTACTCTCATCATCATCACAAGATTAGCTGGTGTTACTGAGTAACTCATGCACAATGCAAGTCCTTCTGTGCTATCTGATATAGGATTTGAGGACTGAATATCCTAAGACTTTATTCAAACTTGTTAATGATCGCTAAGATCACCTGAGTGAGCAATCCTTACAATGCCAAGGATAAACCAAGTCCATTATAGTTAGTGTCTGCACCGGAACTATGCCAAATAATATCACCAGGACTGGGAGGAGCCCAGGCAGCATCTAGCCAGCTTAGCACAACAAGGGAGGCACTTCCAGAACACACGTCAATACCTAGACTGACCCACAACACCCTAACTGATGCCAGTCAACAAGCATGCATTAGGCATACCACACCTAAGTGAGGGACTGGGAAATGTGGGTGGTGGTGGTGCGTGGCAGAAATAGCATTTCTCAAAGGGCTGAATTCTGTTTTGAGACAACGAGTTAGTGACTCCTACTCTTAAAAAAAAGTAGCCGTGGGGACAGAATAAAATATTAAGTGATTTAAAATACGTTCGGAAGCACAGAAGAAATATATCTCCACGATGCAGAAGAGAACAGAAAGCTACAATGCCCATTTCTCCTACGCACCATACCCATCAAGTGACATTCTGTGGCACAAAGGAACTATGCTGCAATCAAAGATGTACTGCAACTCAGAATCATATTATAGAAATGGAAATACTGGTGGACAGCTAAAGGTTTGTGGAAAGAAAAGCAAGGAAGCGTAAGATTCAAGGGTGTTGAAAGAGGTTTCATAAGATGTATGTGTTTAACAAATTTTAAGTACAGTGGTGCCCCGCAAGACGAATGCCTCGCAGGACGGAAAACCCGCTAGACGAAAGGGTTTTCCGTTTCTGAGTTGCTTCGCAAGACAATTTTCCCTATGGGCTTGCTTCGCAAGACGAAATGTCTTGCTAGTCTTGCGTTTCCCCCCCCCGCTCCCCCCTTTTTCTAAGCCGCTAAGCCACTAATAGCCTTTTAGCAGCTTAGCCGCTAATCCTTTAATAGCCGCTAAGCCACTAAACCGCTAATAGCGCTAATCCGCTTAGCCGCTAATAGGGTTGCTTCGCAAGACGAAACAACCGCTAGACGAAGAGAATCGCGGAACGGATTCTTTTCGTCTTGCGAGGCACCACTGTAGTAAATTTGTAGCAAAGTTCCCTCCAAACAATGTTCTGCCTCCACAAGTAGCGGGCACATCCCCCTCTTAGAATTGTACAATTCCAGCGTAGTGGTTACTGGCACACAGGACAAGCACAAATAATTATTAACAGTGACTCACCAGGAAGTCTGTTCATGTTGACACCTTGGGCTGAGAGTCCTATCCCCATGTACCTTCAAGCAAACAAAAGTGTGTTAATGCAGCAAAGAGAGAATGGCCAAGCAAAATCACACAATGCTGCTTTTCCTAACTGAAAGCACAGTTTAAGTTTTCATTCAACAGAGGCTGTGATCAGATTCTTTCTGAAATCCTGCACAAAATGGCACAGCTGGCCAGGGCAGTAGTTCCTCATCAAACCTTCTTGATGTGCTCAGCAAACTACCTCCCTTTGCTGGAATATCAAAAAGTATACGCTTTTAAAATATACCGTAGTCATTGGTAACACATGTAAATTAATTTTGCTAGGAGGCCTATCCCAAAGGTAAGAATTGTACACAGAGATGCCTCTTAAATGGGGCTGCATCCCACCCCCCAGGCAGAATTAGCATGCAGCAATCTGGGAACAGCAGCTTTGTAGCAGCACTGCATGCATGCCTCATCTCCAGCTGCACACAAGCTGCTTCCTTCTCCAGTGACTAAGCAGGGTGCATTGTCGAGCAGAGATAGGATGGTTGAATTATCTACTGCTGGCAGGAGTTCTTCCCCATCTTGGCCTCCCACAGTTCATGAAGCTTCTGATCTTTTTACATTGTAATCCTTGGCCTTACCGTTTCACACAAAAGGAAACCTAATTGGTTGGGACAAGTAAAAAGAGGTTTACACATTCAAAGAACCTGCAGTATTTAACTGCCATTGTAAAGACGGGAGAAGTTAAGGTCCTTACTCCAAAACAGACAACAGAAGTTTGGAAGAGGGTCCATGTTCAAAATTCTAAGCCTAGATTTAATTACCTGATATGCACAGACCAACTACCCATACTGGATGGAGTGGTGGGGCTGCACTGCTCACCTGACCTCCCTACGTCTGAGTAACTGCTGCATACCTGAAGGTGACAGAACCAAGGATAGCTTGCTATGAAATGTTTGCAAAGCATTATGAGGACAAAATTGCTTGCGTCCACCAGGAACTTGACTCCAGTGTTACAGCAGATGACTCTTGAGAGGTGTCTAGAGCACTGTCTAGTCTAGCTCCAATTAAAGATAAGTCCATCAGTTATTTTTTATTCATTTATTAAATTTCTATTTTTCCTCACAAAGGACAGTAATATTATTCATAGGATATTGAAGCTGGAAGGAATTGATCACATGCCCCCATAACTCAGACTCTAGTCCAGTTTTTATCCAAAATCCTTAAAAGGATTTATTCATTTTATTTTTATTTAGAAGTGTTTTAAGCTGGCTCTTGACTGCAAAGCAACCCACAACATGGTACAATAAAAATAAAAAGCTACAGTATCAACTGTAATGCCATAAAACAAGGGCAGAGAGAACCTTAGCAAGGACACACACAGAACAAAACCAGTACAACCATCTCAGCACCTGGCCCAAGCATTAATAACCTGTAACAATAAAGGCCCTTGTCAGGAGACAACTCTTCACCTCTAAACAAGATCTAGTAAGATTCAACATCAGCTTTAGCTCAGCAGGGAAGACATTACATAGATAGGGCACCACCACATAGAAGGCTCTTTCCCAAGCTGCCACATAACTGATCTCAACTGGAGAAAATCCAACCAATGATCTTAGCATGAAGAGTGAAGACAGGCTGATGCAGAAAGAGATGTTTCTTCAAGCATTTTGGTCTCATTTTGTATGAGCTTTTATGAGTCATTGCTAGCAGTGCATTAAATTTGGGTTATCAGCATACTGGCAGCCAGTGCAGCTCTTTCAAGGCCACAGCTACATAATCTCAGTTGGCTGAACCACTCAGCAGTCTACCCACTTTTAGTTACCATATTTCAGTATTTCTAACTACATACTCTTAAAGTTGCTAACTTTTTGCTCATGTTTTCTCCTCCTTGCTACTGTGCTCATATGCTACCAAAACAACCTAGCCTCCATGCTACAGCTCTTCAGATCTTGGAGGGATTGTTTTGCCAGCCTTGCATTAATGTGAAGAAGTGCTCCTTACCACAAGAGCTGATTACAGTGGACCCTCCGGATAAGAACTTAATTCGTTCCGGTGGTCCATACGCACCCTGAAAATCTGCATCTAGAAGCGCCGCTTCTGCGCACGCATGTGGCATGATAGAGAGCTTCTGTGCATGCAGCGAAACCCAGAGATATACACTTCCGGGTTTGCCACGTTCACAACCCAAAAGTTACGTTACCCAAAGGTAACGTAACCCGAGGGTCCACTGTATTAATACCACTAAGTCCATTGCAAAGATTCCTACTTTTATACAGCAGAACATCTTTAGTAGATCTTATTCTTGTCAATATGGAGAGAAACTCCTCTCCCCCCAATTATTTCACTATTAATCAGTTTTCAAACAATATGATATTTTCAGGAAGAAGGGGGTTCTATTGAACTTCATCATCTGTTTTTGTTGTTGTTTTTAATTTCAGGGAGCTGAGTAATTGTACAGAAAAAGAAAGAAAAATCCTCTGAAATGTTTCTCTGTTATCTGTTTTCTTCCTGTGGCATTTACTTATGTTTTTAAATTGCATTTATGCTTTAAGCTTGTATGTTTTGTGATTAACTGCTCTGCAGGCACACAGAGGAAAAGCAAGTGCCCCATTAAAAAGTATACCAATCCTTGGTGATCTGATTCTCAGTCTCAAATTCTTAAACATAGAAAAACTGTTATTAAGCACCAGAAGTTATGACTTTCACAAAGTCAATGGGGAAGGCAAAGCAAAATGGCTCCCATAAGAAGATTCAGGCAACTCTACAAGTAGAAGTACTCTTTCATATCAGTCCAGGTTACTGGTAGATTGCTAAAGGTTTGGGTGCCAAAGTAGAAAAACTGTTGCTCTCAATAATTAAAATGCCCTCCAGTGGGCAGCTGGCACTGACCTCTGTTTGCTTCAGGGGGACTGGACACATTCCAACCCCATTATGAACAATAGCTGGAGCATAGTTTTTTTTAAGTGTATGTAACTCATATGAAAGAATCCATGTACTTTATAAACATTGCATGCCAGGGATGAAATACTAGTTGTGACAGTCACACAGTTCATGCTGTTTATTGTATTAATAGCTCATCCCCATTCTAAAGAAGAGCCACTCTCATAGCCAAGCATAAACACCCAATTTAGCAGAAAACTATTTATGGGTACAACCAGGGTACAGAATTCCAAACCAAGCAAACAATCCAACAATACCATCATGCCATGCCATATCACTACAGCTATACAGTGGTACCTCGGGTTAAGTACTTAATTCGTTCCAGAGGTCCGTTCTTAACCTGAAACTGTTCTTAACCTGAGGTACCACTTAAGCTAATGGGGCCTCCCGCTGCCGCTGCGCCGCTGCTGCACGATTTCTGTTCTCATCCTGAAGCAAAGTTCTTAACCCGAGGTAAGATTTCTGGGTTAGCCGAGTCTGTAACCTGAAGCATATGTAACCCGAGGTACCACTGTACATGCACATGCAGGTATGTATTATCAGGACACCATACTTGCAAGAATACTATGAGCTAGGATAACTGTTATCCATTTTGCAGATGGAATGAGGCAGAAAGACAGATATGCTCCATTGAGATGTCATGACTGAACATATATAGATTCCCATGTCCAAACACACTACCGTGTCACAATGTCGGTGCTGCCAAATTGTAGTATTCCAGGGAAAATACAATAACAACTTTATTATTTATATGTCGCCCTTCCAACTGGGCTGTTACAACTACTCTGGGAAGCTCCCAACAAAATATTAAAAACATGAGATTGCTGGTCTTTGTATGACTGTACAATAATTATACAAACCTACTTACAGTACAAAGCAATTGTACAGCACTCTTTGCATCACCATTATTTCAAACACAAAACTACACCCAACCCAGCATCACCAGCTGAGTAGCATAAGCATCAATGCCACAGTTAACAGCACAACAAGCACTGTGCCATTTTTACTAACAGTTAGTATGAAATCCATGGTGTTCTGTCATCAAAGTTGACACATTCACCACCAGCACAGCATATACTGGCTGGTATTAGCATGGTCAAATGGAAAAGTGCAAATACTTAAAATGGCTTGCCTACAGCTACAGATGCTGGATGAATTCAGCCTTTTGGAAGCCTACAGGAATAAGTTGCAGACAGTCTAATCCCTTCATTGAGAGCTCTTACTGTACTGAGCTGTCTCTGCTCCTGAGGGCTCCCCCACCCCCATTTTTTTTATCTCTTCCTTACAATTCCTTTCAGCTACTGTTTGATGTCAATGTCCACTGGCTTTCACTTGTCATTACCGCTAGCTGGCACTTGTACTGGCATGAACCCACTGCTCTGCAAGGAATGGTCTAGGCATAATCATCCACCACTTTAAAATTGAGAAAACAGTTTTTCAGCTATAAGAAGGCTAAGATCCTTAGTGGCTCTGCTTGTTACTGAAAGAGTGCCCCAAACCCTGGTACAGGAACTCCTTGTCTAAGTTAGCCCTTGGCACTATGCATTAAATCCTAACGGAAGGGTGTTTCATATCATTAAGCTACCCTGGAAATGCTTATACTGTAGTAGCTTATAGCTTATAGCTACTACTGTGACAGAAATGTACTACCAGAAGAACCACAACATGGGAGTGACTTCTCACTTTCCTGTGAAGAAAATCTGCTTCTGTTTCCAAAGGCATTCCACGTGTCTCCATTTTTAGTTATTTCTTCAGGGTCCTAATTATTCAAAACAATCTTGTCATTTAACAATTAAGAAATCAGAAGTCCCTGATTCAAGACCCAGCTCAGTCATGAACCTGCAGGATGACCTTAGACAACCGACATTACATCTCAGTTTCCCACCTGTAATCCGAGGGTCACCCAGCGAGACTACCTTACAGGGCTGCTGTAAAGCTTACTGATATAATACTCAAAACTCTATCAATGTATTGCAGAAACACACTGTGCAAATAACAAGTATTAATTGCTACTGTCATGCTAACATCACCCCTCCTTTCATTATTCAGTTTTTACTATCTGAAATGTAATGGTATGCTAAAAGAACCAAAAAAAAAAAAAAAA